GTTGCTGGAAAGCTTTGAAAATCTAATTATAGTTGCATGTAATGGCATACATTTGCATAAATCCTTGATGGAAATTCTAGCCAACTTCGAATCCTGTGAGAATACATGCATATAAATACACCTATGCATACATACACATGTATGTGTAACGTAGTTGCTATGTAAAACTCAGGCTCTCATCTTCTTTAATGCCACTTCTGCTGATTTTACCTCAATCAAAGCAAATCCTCAGTGAGTGGCGGCGGTATTTGCTGCATTTCAATTGCATTTCCACTTTCCTCCAGGCTCATTAGACTTGCATATGCTTGGATTTACCATAGGTACGTCTGTGTTTTCCCTTTGACGGCATACATACCGAAACCGAATCCCCAGTGTCAATATAGAACCAGCTTCTGCTCCACATTTGGTGCTTAACTTTCGTTTTTTTTTTCTTTAAAAAAAAAATTTTTTTTCCTCATCTCTTCTTTTCTGTGTTAGATAAACTCTTGTTCGACATATGCAACATTTCCTGTTTGGGAACTTGCCATTCAGTTGGTCTTTGGCTTTTAGCTTTTTGGTACTTCTGCTAATCTGCAAAGGTTTTCTAGCAAAAGCTGCCGCATCATTCATTAAAATCAAATCTGGCAAAACAAATTAAAATTCTAGTTTCGTTATTCCTAAACGAAAAAAAAAAGAATAAATAAAAATAAAAAGAAATAAAAAACTGAGCGCAGAGACAACGATTATTGAAATGGCAAAAAGAAGACCTTGATCTTTAGATTATCACATCAATAAATGGTAAGTTTTGTTGTTGCCTCACGAGTGCGCAGCTTTGTCGTCTTCTTTGGTACGTTTCGTGCTTGTGTCTTTGGCGTGAAAGAAACGAAAACGAAATTGAAATTGAAATTCTAGCTCTGACACATAGTAGCCAGCCCAGTCAGCCTCACAGCCTCTCAGCCTCTCAGTCAGCCATTCAGCAGCTACGTCGACGGAGACAGCGTCAGAGACATTAACGTACGCAAACTGGTGGAACCAGTCAAACAGCCATCCAAGTCGAACCAAAAGAACTTCTTGAACTAATTAAGAGTTGCCAGAGCAAATAAAAGATATTTTCATGTTTACCTTAATAACTGCGTCTCGCGCTTTTTCGTATTGCAACTCTATTAAAAGAGGAACAAGTTAGAGCGTTGCAGTTGGGCGTTATCGACTGCACAATACTCATTTACGCTCCAAACGTTGGTAGATTCATTTTCCGATCGTCCGTACCCCCAATCGGTGTATATGTATACATATATGCAAATCAAATGTAAAATAGTATTTCATTTTGTGTTTCTTACTCTGAAACTGTAGAAATGCATTTTCCGATTTGATACGGATCCGAATAATCTTGACGGGTTGCAAGACGGACATTGTAAAAACCCCATATGCTCATTTCACTTTCATGAATGAGTACATAAATAAACAAAAAAGATGCGACAAAAGAAGAAAAAAATACAAATACAATTTCCCCGTTGGTAGCCAAAAACATTGATGGATATTGCCGTACGAGTGCGATTACGTGATTACATAAAAAAAATTAAAAAACCATTTGAACTTGAAAACACAGAGAGCATCTTGCAATTGAAACAAAGTAAAAACAGCATTAGCCAACACAAACACACACACACGTACACGCAGAAGTTTTTAGCTCTTTATACTCTGCTTATGCTTTTATTACCAAAAAACTGCAAACTAATCGGAAAAATCATTTCGACCGGTCGTATACGTATTATTTATCTTATGAATAGCAATGGAATAAATATGTAAAACAAATTTAATTTTTCTTTGGCTTAATATATGTATATATTTCCAAATTTTGATAATTGATTGCTTTTATTTTTGAATTTGTATTTTTTATATGTAATAGATTTTTTATTGTGGAATCAATTTAGCAAGCTCTCAAGGCCCATTTCTGTTCCGCTTCATATTTCTTACTTTTGACATATATTAAGTGAATGTCTCTACAGCTAAATAACTAACTTCACAGTCGATATACATTTTCAGAAAAAAAAATAAAATATATATATATATATATATATATATATATATAGCATAGCTTAAAGAAACCATTCATATTGATCATGTAGAGCCCATTTAAACTGGTTACAATTCTTTGAAGACGAATATTATTATAATAATATTTATGATAAGATAAAAATGCCGATTCTGACATATGAATTCATTTGAATTCTGAAAAAAAGAATAACATAAAAATAGTGTGGATGGAAATCAATCACTAGAAGAAGTCCGATAATATAACTTATTCAATGAACGCAATTTATTCAATCAAAAATGCAAGGCTTTCAGTTCAGAGAAGCTTTAATAGCTATACATATATTCACTATAATATATTTTAGTGTAATAGATAAATGTATAAAGCTCTTTCAACATGTCAGGGTATTTTGTTATTCGATACACTTTCGGAACTCTGTGGCGTATGTTAACAAGTAAATCGTTTGAAGCAAAACGTACTAACCATAAAATTGTTACAATGGCGACCCCAGCACATTAGCAGCAACACCAACAACAGCAACAACAGCGAAAGCAATGTAAAACAAACAGATTAAATTGAATGGCGGCAGGCCGAAAGAGTAACAACAGCAATAGCAACAATGACATGAACAGCAACAGCAACAGCAACAACAACAGCAGCAACAGCAACAACTACAACGAGAACAACATTATATATAGTACGAGTCTGAAAATGCTTACCAATTACGTTCTTAGCCACAAACACACACAGATGTTGTTCTGGTTACATTGATTTGTGGTTAAACGTGGCATTTAGCTCTACAAAATAAATAAATAAATTATAATAATAGTAATAGTAATAAACATATTGTAAATACTAAATACAAAAATAGCGTAAAGTTAATTTAACATATGAGCAATTTTGCAGGCTAACAAAATATGATGCAATTCAGTAAAATAGAAATAAATAAATAAATATCAGAGTGAATCCGAAGCCGCAATGCGTAGCCATATTGCATTACATCATCTATATCTCAGCCCAAAACTACAAAAATTGTAGATCTACAATATTGAAATTTCTGTGAAAAAGCCAATTTGACACCTGAATATAGTTTTAATAGCTTTTGTAAAATAAATTTTTTATATGAAAATCCGCGGATGTTTTGTGTATTGAACTACCTGATTTACTGAAATAGATCTATTTTATTTCACGATAAAAGAGTTTCAAATTCCCTTCTTCTTCCTTTTATTCACCTTTTATTTTCAGCTTAAAGCCTTCCTATACATTTTTTCGCCAAGTAAGATATTTTCCTATCCATCAGAGTCAGAGAATGATTTTTCTATGAAAACTTAGGCAGCTGATGTTTATTATACCCTGAACCTATTTTCAATGGGAAATCAGGGTATAATGGTTTTGTTTTGAGTCGATATAACCTTGTTCGTCTGTCCGTCTGTCCGTATGTTTGAACGCGTCGATCTCAGAAGATATAAAAGCTAGAGACTTGAAATTTTTTTCCTAGGTCTGTGTATAGCACGCGCATATCGAATTTTGCTTTGAATATCGATAACTTGCCCCGTTATTTCGTTATCGATTAAAAACATTATCGAAAACCAGTAATAAACTTATATCTCCTACATCTTTAAAGGTAGAGTCTACAAATTTTATATGTATACTTATATACATTTTATACAATTTCGGTTTTTGTCAAAATTTACCACCCACCCCTTATTCACCCCCTCACCCACACATTTGTAAAAGGCGTATTTCAAATACTAGGCACTTGTGCTTTGGCAAATACATATATATCTATGTTAAATTTATAATCTGAAAGTTTCATGAATATAGTCCATCCATAAGAAAAGATTTTAAGTCATTAAATTCCCATAGTAAGCCAACACTGCAGCCAATGCGTGTTTATGCGTGCGTGCGTATGCCTGTGTGTGTGCGTGTATGTGTGCATATGCGAATAATTATTGAAGTATCAGTTGTTCGAAGGGTTCAGGGGATCTGGTAGTCGAGCAGTCTCGATTAGAGCTTTCTTGCTTTATATATTATTGCTGTTTATATATTATTTATTCTCTTCTTATTTTGCACCTATGACAATCCCCATATTATTATACCATTAGGGGACTGAAGTATCGTTTGTTGATAGAGAGCGTGACTTAAATTCGAAAGTACTCAGTTAGCTCAATTTAATGCCAACAATTAGCAATACAATTCGGCAACAATTGAAAGTAAATTGATTCTGAAGGACAGTTTATGTTATTGTTGGAGGAGCCGACAAGTCGAGCAGATAGGAAATTGGGGACCACGAGGAGCCAAGAGGACTTCTTCAGAGAATCCACAGAATCCACTTGACAATGACAATTATTAAGGGACTCTGACTGTTATCCCTTCGAGTGCAGACACACCCACTCAATGAGGGATAATTGTGCGTTACGCATACGCCTGCGTGAGCTTGATTTTATTGCCAGCGCCCGAGGCGAAAGCCAATTTGTGCGGCCAAGCAATTTGGCCTAAGGAAGCCGCACAATAACAAAAAAAAAAAAAAAAAAAAAAGGAAAATACAAAAAGAAAACACACAAACTAAAGATAATTTTGGGCTCATGGAAAGTTTTTGCGTAACTGCAAACACACGAACACAGGAGACGGAGCAGTAGCAGGAGCGGGCCTGTCATGGCCTGGATGCCAGGATGTGGACCATGCCTCCTGGCCAAACCATATGTGCGTCAAGCACATGATCAACGGCCGATACTGTCGACGTAATTGATTTTGGTGGTCGACAATCCTAATTAAGTTTGGCCTTGGCCATTATACGATTTCCTCATTTTAATCAGTGATTCAATGGCTAACATATGTACGGCAAATTATGTTACAATAATTGAACATTTATGCAATCAATTCGAGTCTCTAGCGTCCCAATGGGCCGAGCATATTGAATGGCGCCTGATAGCTCATCGGCTGTCGTTCCGTTTCAAATTTCAGCTCATACCATTCAAAGCAAAACGCGTTTGCTCTTAGCCATATCAGTATTCTGATATTAAATCCTCGACTCATCAAATACTCGTTGGTCTCTGCAATCAGTTCGCTGTCAGGGGTGCGCGAGCGTGTCAGTATTCGAAGGGTCCCTAAAAATAGTTAAATATACAATATTATTCGATTCAGCAAAAGATAGATGTCGAACTACTTACTTACATACTGCTTGATAGCTTGATTGTATTTGCATGAATATGTGACGACACACTCTGCTTTTTTTTTCTCATAATAGAGAATGTTGGTCTTAAAGTAGGCTGTACCAAGAACATATGTAAGTTTTCCGATCGCAGACACTTCATCGCTTCCATATACTCACTTGAGTTCCTCACATTGTACGAGGCACATCTACGCTGATAGTGCTGAAAGGGCAGCGGAGTTGTTGCATAGGCGTACCACACGCCCAACAGCCTATACTTGGGAGCATTCTCTTCCATTTGAATGTGCGGACATTCGTCCACAAAGAGAGTGGCATTTACGATATCTCTGTCCTCATCTGCTTCTACTATTAGGACCCCTAGACCGAGCACCATGAGCACCACGTAGCTAAGCAAGCGAAGTAAGAAATATAAATGAAATGAAATAGATTATCTGAATTAGAAATATTTCGTACACTTTGTAGGCCCACATCTTGCCTGAGTGAAGTTTCTGTTAGAACTGAACAGTTGACGTGTTGCAACGATTCCATGAAAGTAGTTGTATATCAGCCTGTTGCAGTCGGGCGTCACCAATTGCGTCATACTCGTCCATGGTCCATGAAAGCTTTGATTAGCTTTTGTAGACCTCAAGAGGGAGCCAAATTTTACAGCTGTAATTTTACAGCTGCTTAAGAAAAAATTTTTCAAGACGTATGATGAAGTATATCTATACTGTATTATCAATCAATTAGAGGAATTCGAACTATGCCCTGGAGCTCAAGCAAAGGCTCCAAAGCTGTAAAGCTTACAGCTTATATATGTTTACTGTCTCGACCACAAAAAGCTATACTATACAGATTTTGTCATGAACTTACTATATATATTTCAATGCACTATAGACTTTACAAACTATTATAATAATGTTTCTGTTATATCTGATATAATATTTTGCCCTTAGTAGACCAAATATCCAATTAAATTTCTCTAGTTTCAATAGCGGCGATACGATTTGCGTCCATACAAATAATCAAATAGACAGACAGCAAGGCTGGCATTACACAAGCCCAATATACTCTTCTCACTTCATGAAAAAAATGTTTATTTGCTTCCATATTCTAAGTGTCAAATTTCTGCAAAGGTTTTTATTTATGATTACCTAGACTAGTTATATAATATAAATAAAGTATTATACACACATATATTCAATAATAAAGGTAAATATTATTTGTAAAAGCCTATTTTCCGACTGCTAAAGTCTTCGAGTCTGTCTAAACGGTACTTTTAGTGCAACAAAATGTATCTAGATTTTTAGCTAATTACATATATTTGCTTTTTGCTTTTTCGTCTGCAGCCATTTTTTATTGGACTTTTTTTCTTTAGGCAATTTCGCCCAACAATTATGCACGTAGCCTTTCCCTATATATGTCTTTCAAATCGCTCGACATTTGATGATTTATTCAATTTGTGCTATGAAGCGCAAACTTTTTGTTTACAACCTTTCGTTGTTGTTGTCATTGTTGTTGTAATTGTTTCTGTTGCTGTTCTATGGCAGCGGATGTGCGCTGTGTGCTGTGTGAACCTATCGCCACTCATTGCCCTTAGGCCTCTGTCCTTTGTCCTCTGTCCTCTGCCCTGTGTGTTTTTTGCTTTAAATGATTTAATGCCACAAGCCGAATATCCATGGGGTATGTGCGCCATGCTCCACGCTCTGACGTTGCCAGTTTTGCTTTATATATCTTTGAGCGTGTCATCAAGTGAATATTTGTGTGCGCTAAGTATCGATTCAGCTAGATTATATATGGCAAAATTCATTCTATAGTACGCATTTTTTTGAGAAAAGCTCAAGAGCCGTTGTGGTAAAGGAAGCTGTCTTTGTAATCAATGCTATATTAAAATTTTTTATTTTTATTTTAATGTAGTCGGTGCTTTACAATTTATTTTATACATTTTTTTTTTTTTTTTTTTTTTTTTTAATATTACATATTATTACAAATTATGTGCAGGTCCTATAGAGCTAATAAGGATGAAGCTACGGTTATACACTTATTTCAAAAATATTTTTAGCTCACGCGAAATATTTGAGGTTAATATATTCAATATTGTCTGCAAGCTCAATAATCTCGAAAGTTTCACTTTCATTTTTCACTCAGTTAAATGGATGGCCCTATGATTTGCAGCCAAGTACTCAATGGGCTACAGACCTGCTCTAGTTTATTGACTGGGAAATTTCAGTTAACTGAAATTAAATTGAAATTGGCAAAACTCTGTCTCTGCTGCAGATTGTGACAGCTCGGTAATTAAATATTTGTTTGCTATTATAAAACGAAAAACAAGTTATAATTACTGTTGTTGACTTTTCCTGTTGATGCTGGTCGCCAACTTTGCTGTAGATAAAAAGACACAAATTATTGCACTTTTCAGCTTCATTTGGCCGAGACTGTTTCTCATAGCACTTTTACGACTGTTTTGCCAAGTTTCTCAGCGATATTATAGGCTAATTGCCGTTTGTTTATTTGCTTTTCGTATTTTTCCCCCTCTTTTTGTTTTTACTTGACAAATTTGTGGACAGACGAAGCTCTTAAGTATGGCATACCATCAAGTGGTCAGAGGTGTTGTTTTCTATTAAATACTTGAGATTCTACACCGTAAGGAAAAGGGAAAGAATGGAATGTTTTGCAAAATTTCAAGTCATTTAAGTAGAGAGACAGAAAATGTATTGAATTTTCATAATTAAATGGTGAAAGTCCACGCAAAATGTTTGCTGTAATGTGGACTTGGAATAACTCCACTCTAGAGCTAGAACTGAGCTAAAATATCTATAGTATACTCTACTCAGAATGGAGCATGCGACATAAGTGTCCTTCCATATGTAAATTCCCTGTGCAAACTTGAACAAGTATAATATATAAATGTTAATTTCATAAGACTTCAATTATATAGCCAATTATATAGCTAATTGAGTGTTTGGCTACTTATAAATAGCTAAATTACTATAATATAATACATAATTATAGAGCTGGGATGAATAAGATTTGCAAGTCGAGCACTATTGGCAACCATAACTAATTGAACTAGCAATTATATAGTTCATTAATAGGTCATATGAATAAGAAAATAATTATATATTTATATACATAAAATATATATAATACAAATTTATATAAAATTTAATATTACAGAATATGCATAAATTCATGGAGGCTTTCAAGCCGCCAAAAAGTATTAAGCAGTTGGTTAAGCTGGATTGTTATGTTCGTGGCAAAGGGCTTTTTAAGTACTTTTTGTTTGTGATACTTGAAAATATTGGGCTAATAAATCAACTCCTCTTCTTTAAGCAATTAGAATGATAAAAGAAAAGAAAATCGTATCTATTACTCATGATTTTTAATATAATTTGAAAAGCGTATCCTTGCCTGTCCTATACATGTCATTTAAGCTCATTTAATTTTCGCCTTTTCTTTCAGTTGTTTACTCAATTTCCATCAATTTTCATCAGCTCTGTCAGCTACTTACCTACTTAGTGACACGGCTACTTAATGCAGCAGCAGAAATTTTTAGAACTTTGTGCAACATTTGGACAAATTGCAGCGACAAAGTGCGGGCCAATATGTGCTGTTGGCCATATAAATTTCATTTTCGCCAGTTAAATTAATTACTGTCAACACATGCGAGGCGGCAGTAATAACAGCAGCAGCAGCGGCTGTCAGAGGCGAGAAACTAAAGCAGGCCAAGCTAAAGTCCAACAAAGTTGTAGAAGAAGAAGAAGAAGACATTATGGGTCCAGGGCGTGGCAGAGGGCGGTGTCTGGCCATGACAGCGTCGGAGCGTTGAGCGTGTAGCGAGCATAAACACAAAGTCATAAAGTTTTTACATAAAAGCATTTAATTTTATTGCATTTTTGGGCAGCCGCCAGTGGTGCAGGTCGTCCGACAGCCAGACGGCACAGAACTGGGGCGGGCGGCTGGTTATTGGGTCTACATGGTCTACTGGCCGGATGGATGGGGGCCAACTTAATTTGGTGCAAATCAAGCAAGACTGCAACAGCAGCCGTCAAGTTCGCAACTAGCGCGTTGCAGTCCGGTAGCTCAGCACAATGCAATGCGAACTTTTGTTAATGTGCGCCGTGCTCTCTGCTCTGAAAGCTGACTCACTGACTCCCCGACCGAATGACTAACCGACTGACAGACAGACGGGCGGACAGGCGGACAGGCGGACAGTCAGTCAGACTGACGTTCTCGCATAGCTCATGTGCGCCTCGCTGACGTCAGCACAAAAGCATTTATATCTGTATGTGTATGGCAGTCTCAACATGCATCCTAGCCAAAGCGAAAAGAAATCTCTTTAGCATTTTGTTTAGACATCTTTTGAAATACGTCGACGGAATACTTGAAATGGAAACCCAGCGAGTGAAAAATATTCCGCGTAAAGTTTGTTTTTGCTTCTATTTCACTTCTTTCCCCACCATTTGTTCTTCTTTTCCCTCTGTAATATTTTTTTTTTTTTCTTTTTGGCATATATAAATTCGAATTATGCGAAATGCGAAAATTTGCAATGCGTATACGTAATATGCACTCACATCAACAAGTGGAACAGTTTCTGCGGAAAACATTTCGTACCAAATACATTTGAATGTCTAATGTTTAATGGTTATTTTAAATGTGTCAGGGAGAAACATTTAAACTGAAACATAACTAAATTATGTATGTCTACACATATATGTATAAATATATATGAATATTAAAATATTTAGGTACATCTAAATAATATATAAATATTTTTGTATATATCTATTTTTTGTTAATAGTTCATAGCAATTTGTTAAATTCTTTTTATGCTGACAGTCTTCAAAAAAAAAAAAAAAATAAATAAAAAAAAAAAAAAAAAAAATAAATAAAAAAAAATAATAAATAATAAATAAATAAATAAATAAAATAAATAATTAAAAATAAATAACCCAAATATTCTGCTTAGAAGTCACAACACTTCAGCATTTGCCTTAACTGCTTTTCAATGCACTTTTGGTACCCAGAAGTGGCTAACACTAAAACGAGTTGTTCAACGACTTTAAAAGCTTTTCAGGCGCTGAAAGCCGTTGAGCTCCCATTTTATTCTTGATGTTCGGGAACAAAGAGAAATGGGAACTGTAGTGCGGATGACCCATTAGTTCGATCTGTTGAGTGCTCGAAAACTCTCGAGTGTGAGCCGATACGTGAGAGCTGGCATTGTCTTTGTGAAGCAGGATTCGTTGATTCTCTGAAAATTTCCGGAGAGCAACTACTAGTTGTGCACTGAGAATTGATTACTTCAAGTTTCCCTAGTGATACAGTTGCGACGTGACCAGATTTTTGAGTTAGAAGACATCAAATGTTGTATATATGTAAGTTATACAAGTTGATTGTTTTTTTTAAGTTATGGATTACAGTGAGTCATAAAGTTTGTTCATGCCAGTAATCTTTCAAGTTCATTCAATATTTATATGCACACACTGTGTCAAGCAAGTATTGAAACACGCTCAACATGCTCCCAGCTTTTCTATTCACGTTAATGTTTATTTACTATTACATATTTGTAAGTATATATTTGTAAGTCCTCCTGAGTATATCAGAAGGTTAGGCACTATATAACAAAATCTAGCTGTGTTGTTAAGGTACTATACTTGCATTGTACAAATTCAACGCTTAAAATAAATATAACAAAAAAAATAACTAAATTTAATATTATGTATACATAATTTATAGCATATATTAATAAAAATATGCATATATATATCACTATAATTTTTTTAAAGTTATATTTGTAAGATTGAAATATTAGAATAGTATTATGTTAATTTATATTTCTACTATACATACATATACATATTTATATACATATTTTATATATATATATATTTTTTTTAATATTCACTTCTGATTTTTCATATTTTCTTGCTTCATCTCAAAACAACTTTTAATTCTTTCGTTTTCAACCCCTTGCTCTACTAGTAGTTTGCCCCAATTAAATGTTTTTCTTGATTTCAGTAAGTTTTTAGCTAAGCTGACCATCTGCCGCAATGCTAAAAGTCGCATTCTTATGGCTAGTGCCTTTCATGGAATTCAGCAATAAAAACACTTTCATATAGTAGCAGCAGCAGCAGCAGCCGCAGCAGCAACTGTCGAAGAAGCATATGCCATGGGTCGTCGCAACTCGGGCAGAGACAACCCCCAAAGTGGGCTGATTTTATTTTCTTTCTGTCTCTCTGTTTTCAAGAATGTTCGTCCAAAGATCTTTGCCTCGATAGAGGAATAAAAGAAGAGCGTGTCGGCGTCCATGTCGGAGGCGGGGGTGGATTATGTAGGTAGTACATGGCCCATGGCATATGTCTGGCATGCTCATTAGGGGACACAGCGTGGCGTGGCTAATGTGGCAACAAGCGACTGACTGGGGCTGAGGCTGGGTATGGAGCAGGGGCAGGCACAACGGCCGGAGACAGAGCAAGTGGAGCTGGAACTGCCCTATGGGTCTGATGATTTTCATTTGACTTTGTTGGCGCTTATTGTATGTATTTTTTTTTATTTTTCTGGGTTTTTGCTTTACCGGCCTTGTCAACATATTCGATTCAGGGGCACACTTTCAACTTTTATTCTCGCTTTTATTGTTTTGTTTTCACTGCGGTAGCCGTCGGCCATGTCATTGTTGTTGTTGTTGCCTCCGCTTGGGGTAATTCAATTTTCTGTCACAATTTTCATTTGTGCAAATTTCGAATATATTTTTCCATAGGCTGACTGAAGGCAAGTCGATGGCTGCAATGGTCGTCCTGGCATCATTTCATGCACAATTTGTTTGGCTTTTATTTTTATTTTGCCGCATTGTTAAATTTTCCTTGGCATTGGCCACGTTTTTACTGCCGACAAAAAAAAAAGGCCAACGCACATTTAATGTAACTGCCAGATGAGTCAATTTACCCCTCAGGGCAGTGCTTAGGGTTGTGCGTGCGAGCCTAACAGCCGTCCTTAGTCAATGCTAAAAGAGCTGCTTAATTCGCTGACAGCTGCTAAGCAAAGCCGAGCACTTTAACAGAGCGTCTACAGCTATTAAGAGAGCGCGATTAACAGCAGCCGACACGCCACGACTCTCTTCACTTTTCTGCGCTCTTTGCTACGCTTGCTGCTCGGCTCTGCTCTGCTCTGCTCTTCTCAGCTTAACAGCCGCTGTTAAAGCATTGCGCAGTTAACAGTTCTGGACCTTAAGCTCGGCTGACGCCGGCCCGATTAGCGTGCGTCAAATTGCGTAGAAAGTTTTAATTTTCCCTGGAGTACCATTTGCCTGCAATGGGCTGGCGTAGCGTTTTTCGTCTTCTTCTTTTGCTTCTGAGTGTGTGTTTTTTGGCACGTGAAAATTGCGTGTAAATTGGCTGCCCAATGGACAGCTGCTGCTGTTAGTCCAATTGCAATTTCCGTACATACCTGGCCGAAAAAAATATGGCTATAAACGACATTGTCGCATCAATCATTTCAATGATGGCTGCTATAAACTGCATGAATTGTTGACAGATCGCAATGACGATGTTATTGACCATGAAGTTGACTTGGGGCCAGCAGCAGCTGCCCTATTTATAAATCTTGTTTTTGGACATACTAAATCTAAGTGCTGAAATCGCTGTGACAGAGATTTCAAGGGTCTTTCCACCATTATTAAGCCAAAAAAAACAAATGATTTGCAGTTTGCATTCTGTTCGCCACATGGCGAGCTCTTTTGTTCCTCGATTAGAACATTCATTTATTTCAATTGCAATTCCATTTTACCCTGTAAACAAGGGTGAGCTATTTATTATTGGGGAGGATTTCAGTAGAGCTGCTTGAGTAGGAAATGTTTATTATGTGCTTACATAGACTTAAAGTTCGTACAACTTTCTTAAATTTATGAGAGTTGTTCAGATTAAGGAACTTCATAAAAAGTAAGTTTATTCATAGTTCATAGTATTTACATTTATTTGAAATAATTGTAAATTGATTTTCACTTATGTCAAATTATATTACAATCAAATATTACTTTTTAATTATTTTTAGAATAAAAAAAAAAAGAAATAAATATATATATATAATAAATATTTAATTTTACAAAATGAAAAGTAAATATTCATAAATTATTTTTCTGAATAAAATAATAATAATAAAAAAATAAATATTAGAAGATGTTTATCACAAATTTGCAATTCCCTAGAGGGTATTTAGTTGTTCTTATACACCCACTGTCTTTCTCTAAACAAACTTTTAATGTATAAGTTTACAAGCATCTGCATACATATGTCTTTGGAATCTTTTTGCTGCTGCTTCTTCGTCTGTCTGTCTGTGTAAACAAATGGCCGTTGCATCTATTTTGTTTGTGTTTTGTTGTTGTTGTTCTTTTTGAGTCTTTTTTGGCAACTATTCAAAATGCACATTGCTAAATGGCAAACAATTATTTGATATTTGATGTTCTTTCGAATGTTCCAGCTGTGGCAAGCATCTGTAATACGCAGCGTATACGTTACGAGTGTGCCAAAGGCAGCAGCCACGACAACAACAACAACATAAAGAATTTTGTTGTTGAATAGAAGACATGTGAAAAAAGAAATAGAAAGGTTCAACATTCATATATCCTGACCCGTTTCATTGTGCGGCTTTGCAATTTTTATCTTTGTGATATATTCGACAATTGTTTTTATTTTTATTTTTTTTTTATTTTCCTTCTGTTTCGTGCTCCTGTGGTTGCTATACCAGCTTGGATATCATACAAAAGTGATTTAGTATTTTCGTGTGGTTGGCTAGCCCCCGACGACAAAACAGTTGAATGTTTGATTTATTGTGGCCAGCTATGTACAATTGTGAATTACTCGATAAGAAGGAGCAAAAAATATAGCCGCCAGCGAATGTAGACACAGGAAAATGGACTTCGAGTTAAAAGTGTTGCAAAGGGGTATCAGAAGTTTGTGACGTATTAGTTGAGCTTAAAAAGTCAGAAAGGCAACTAATTAAACTAAATACGATTAGTTTAGCAGTCAGTCAAATCAGTGTCAGCTGGTCAATCAGTACCTAAATCAGTATATCTGTCTGTTATTGTCAATATGGTTAGTGGGTCAATTAGGCTGACTGATAGTCAGTCAATCAATTAGCCTTGAGCCAATAAGTCATGCAAGTTGAGTAAATAAGTCAGTCAGTCATTTAATGTGCCAGACAGTTGTTAGTAAGCAATTCAATAAGTTAGCCAATCAATAAGCTAATCAATCAGTCAGTCAGTTAGTTAATTAATAATTAGTCAGTTTTTAGGAATCTGATCAATCAGTCAGTTTTCCATAAAATAATGTTAGTCCGTCAGTTCGACATTCAGTGAGCCAATCAATCAATAAGCTAGTCAGTCAGTCAGTCAGTCAGTCAGTCTTTCCGACAATCAGACAGGCAGTCGTCAGTCAGTCAATCTGTTAAACTTCATCAATCATCAGTGGGTTAGCCCTCCTGGCAGCCAAGCATTCAATCACAATCAACCAAATAATCATTTAATCCGTAAGTCAATCAAGTCAGTCAATCAATACATCGTCAATCAGCCAATGTGCTAACAGTCTGTAAATGTCTGTCGAATTGGCAGTCAAACAACCCGACAAACAGCTAATCAAATAATCAATCATCAATCAGTCGATCAGTCAGTCATCAATCAGTCAAGCAGTCAATCAGTGTAATCACTCGCAGCCAGTTTGCTGTCAGTTATTTCAGTCAATCTATTGCATTGCAATTAATCAACTCGTGTGGAAATATAATATGGTATACATATACTTATAACTTGTTTGGATTAGTAACAATATCGTTGTATACAAATATATAATTATACACAGTATTGGCATTTAAGCAAGCACCTTAGGCCAGGATAACAAAAATGTCCCTTCATATGCTACAAGCACTGTCAAATAGTTCAAGTATCCTTGTAAGGGTTGTATTCAACGGCAACAACAGCAGACAAAAAAAAAGTGTCACAAGTTTCTTAGGCGGACGCTAAAGGCGTGCTGAGGTATGTGTGGGTGTGCTTGTGCTTGTGCTTGTATGTATTTGAGTGTGTGATTGTGTTAATGACAAGTGTTTTCGTGCTCTTTTCGTATGTGCCGCGTAATGACAAGGATGTCGATGAGTATAATGACAACATCAATGCTGCTGTTGATGATGGCTGACTGTCTATGGACGAGGCAATGATGGGCACAGAGAGAACGAGAGAGTGAGAGAGAGGGAGAGAAAGAGGGGATGTGAAAGAGACGGTCTGCTGGGCTGCATGAATGAAGCACTTGGAATAGCTTGTCACGGGCGCCAGCTTAAAGTGCTTGTTAGGCGCTTTTCTTGTAGCTGCTGCCACTTTCTATTTTTCCCCATTCGTTCGTTTGCACCATTGAAGATGCTGTCAATGCGAAATTGAGCTTCCAGCATAAACACGTTGTCAAATGATACGCGTGAGTGCTCACGTACGCCACTCACGCACACCACCACAACAACAACACCAATACACACACACATACATAGACATGTCCTGCGAATTGGACCAACTAAAGGTGTGACAGGCTAGCTGTTAATATTGGTGCGCTCAACTATTGACGTTGTTGTGCTCAGGTGCTGGGCTGATGGCAGACTGTGTGTGTAGCCAGCTGTGTTTGTAATTTATCGTTGATTTATTTGCTATAATTTATATGTATTACTGTTATTCGGCTACTTCGATACCCTGACATTGGGTATGAGCCATTTGAAGTGGAAGAAATTATGGTAGTGTACTCAGAAGGGTTGTGCATGGGTCTCTTTGAATTATGAGGGCTGAAATGAAAAGTTCTATATACAATAGAATAATGTCATACATAAAATATCTTTTTATTATTATTATTTATTTTATTTTATTTATTTATTTTATTTTATTTTATTTTTTTTGCAATTTCTTCGGTTTAACTATAAGGCATCTTTCACACATGTATTTGGAATATGGAGAGATGAAATGATAAGATTCCTATATCTATATAGTATAATAGCAAACATAAAATATCTCTTTACTATTTTTTTTTTTTTTTTTTTTTGCAATTTCTTGCCTTCAATTATAAGGTATCTTTCAGTTGGAAATACTCTCACACATGTGACACATATATTTTTGCAAACTGTTTATTTTTTTATTTTTTTTTGTTCGCTAGGGGGCGCCACTTTTGCTGATATTTTGCTGTTAGCAGCGTCTCTTCAGTCCAGGCTGGGGGCATGCCCAATGCTATTTATTCTTCTTTTTCACGCACATCACGTTGCAAGGCTAAGACGTCTTGAGCCCCTTAGGTGATTTTCAAGATATTTTCTGACAGTCGTCGCGACTGCTGGGACCCAAAAACTAATTTAATGAAAAAAGTGTGAGTATGAAATGAAATAGAGATATACATTTTGGGTGACTTTAGCTTGCTTGAACATTTAATAGATGAAAGGTTAAAGGAAATCCACATTGAATAAATAATTCTTCTTTATGCCTATACAACTCTTTGTAAACTATTTGTTTCTTATACTTTAAGCTATTCAAACGACATTAATCGCCTCGAACTAATTGTTGAGCAAACGAATGAAGCATCTGAAGAGTGATTTTTCATATTTAGCTGGAAGGATAATTTCCATGCCAAGATGTTAATAGGAAGCACTTAAGCGGCGCACAGCTGAAGCTCAAGTAGCGCAAAATTCATTTGAAATGCAAATGAGAAAATTTCCTAATTGAAAACTTTTTCGGGCCACTGGGGCGGGGCTGCAGCAACAGCAATAGCAGCAGGAGCAGCAGCAACAGCCACAGCAACAGCAACATCGCAACAGTTAGAAGCGTCGGCAACTGCTTTGACGTCGGCGTCTCTGCTGGAGCTTAAAGTGTTAACTCAGCGACTGCCAATACAGAGGCGAGAGAGATGCGCTTTTAATTAGGC